GCTCTACAAACCCACTTCATCCCATCTTTTAAACATTCAAAAATAAACAAAAGCACTCAAAACTGGAAATTATTTAATGGGTCTTTCCAAATATAATTACATGAATTAAATGGTGCAGGATTAATCTTCCCCCTTGTTACTAAAGAACACTTAATTTTCAAAATGTTTCTATGAAGTTACACATATTTTCATGGAATCTTTGGCATTTCAGTGAGGACTAGCTTAACAAATAAAGTCTATCATCTTTAGAATATAATAATGTCAGCCTGAGATGGATGAAACTTGTTGGAACTAGTGGATATGACAAGAATCCCTTGGGTCAAAATAACAGCAGTAATTATATTTTCCTTGAGGTAAGAAAGATGAAAAAGCCACAATCAAAAACCCTGGGAATATCTGCAAATCTGTCAGGAAACTAAGTTGAATGATTTAGTCAGGTATCATTTTAGATGAGTTCTGTGCCTTATTAATCACATTTTCTGGCAGAAACAATCTAAATGATGGATAACACTTAATATCAAAAGGGCAATTTGCTACATATTTTAATTAAAAATTGAAATCAACAAACATACAGAACAGACTCACCGAAGGGGCATCCAAAATCATTTCTTCCACAGTTGTTAAGTCTAAACCTAGCCTGATACTGAGAACTTCAAATATGTATTTATATGAAGCATCAACTTTTGTTCTTCGATATTCTCTTGCTTCTTTGTATCGAGCCTAAAACATTAAACATGTCTTTCAAACTAAAAATACAAACTAAAAAAGTGATTGCAACAATGACCTGATACTTAACTTGCAACTAATTCTGAAATCTACTGTCTTGTAAGACTACATAATTGCCCTACTCTTTAAAAATCTCTAAGTTTTCAGAGGCTAACAGAAGAACAAATTATTAAGAATTATTATAAAACATAAAGTCAACTCTGAGGATATGTCAAGGAAAAGCAAACATTAAATATACTACAGCTAGATTTTAAGATATTTGTGTGCTATAGTAACTGGTTTTATTTTTCACAATCAGTATTTCAATTTATTATATCAATACAGAAAGGTCACAAATTAATTTAAAACTAAAGTATCTAGAGTGGGTAAATATGTGCAGGAACTAAGCTGGGTACAGCTTTGCTTCAGTGTAAATTATTTGGTTAATATCTCCTGCTTTCTTCCACTATTACTTTAAAGTAAAATGTTAAAATACTGTAAACATTGAAAACAGACTCACTTTCTACCAGCAATAATCTAATAAAAGAACAGACTATAAACAAAAAGGAAAGAAAAAAAGAAAGAAAAAGAAAAAAGAAATAATTACTATAAACTGAATATAATCATCTGAGAAAAGAACCAGAAATTTATTTCGAGATCTGAAGTTGAACACTAAACCTGTTTTTCTTTTAAAACTTCTTGCAAGGACAGAACTCCACTAGTGCTCCGGCAAAATCTAGATAACCTTCGGTTTGCAACAGAAAAAGAATCTTGGGAAGAGGAAAAGCTTGCTATTTGTCGAGTAAGGCGAATAGATCTGGCTACAGCATCTTCTGGTATAATGGGAGCAGGCACAAAACTCTCTGCAGTAAGATTAGGCCCATCACTATTTGTGGCAGCAGGACTGGTCCCAGCATCTTCTCCAGTGTTTGAACTTTCTTTATTATTTTTTGGTACCCCCTCCATTCTGAAATTTGAAAAAAAAAAAAAAAATTGCGTTTATAACAAGCCAGATTTTTCAAGTCTACCTTTTCAAGACGACCAGAAGGAAAAGCAAGGTAGGGAATAAAAACATGAAAAATCAGAGCATCTCAAAACTGACTTCCCCTGTATATAAATTTAATAGTCTCCAGTCCTCTTCAAGTTCTTAAGGTAACAGACATTTATATACATTTTATGATAGGTTACAAATGTCAAGCTGAAGATGATTACAGAAAGATTTTTTTAAAAATAATTTACCATACATTTATATTTGGTGAACATCCTTCTGTATAATTTTTTTAAAATATTAATACTTTCACTGAATATGTGATTACTGAGAAATAGAAATGGTTTAGAATATAAATGATTTGTTTAAATTTCAGCTTGCAAAATATACACACATATTCAGCAACTGAGCTTACAAAAAGACTTGTGTACACTTCCATACCAGGTCTTAACGCATTGCTCACATAAGCACTTACACATGATTTTTATACAAATGCCCTGCCATGCATAATATTCTTAACGTGTGTTTGCAGAAGTAATGCAAGATGGAGGGTGTTGGGTAGTGTTTTTTCAGTGAAAAAAAGTAATTTAGCATCAGACATCTTCAGCATAATGAAACAGTCAGGCTTTCTCTTAGTTTTATGCCTAAACCCTGGAACACTGCAGCTCATAGGGAACGGATACCATTCTTCAACAGGAGAAGGGAATTTCTCAGTCCATCTCCTTGCGGCCAGGGACTAGCAGGTTAATTGTCCTAGATGAAGATTTCTAAAACAGCCCAAAACAAAGTATATTCCTGGCTGACTTCTAAGCAGTAGGCTCTTACGCAAAGGTGGCTCCTTCCATTTTCTTTCCCTTTCTACTCCACTAGCACGTAAGCCTAGGAAAGGTTTGGTTTGTGAATCCCAAGCCCATAATTCAGGGCTACAAAGAAGCATCTAAATCCTCTCTCCCCATGTTTTCCTGTTACGGGGCACACTCATCCACTTGCATGTGCTGGCTACCATCAACCCCATTTGGTAGATCTTAGCACTTATAAATATAGGTAGGAAATGAAATGTTTTATTGAGTGTGCTCAAATCTACACATGAATTGAGCAACTAGTTTTCAGGTACTGTCATCACCAGTAGCGCCATACCTAAAGTCCTCACCTTGTGTCTAATTTTTTCCTCTAAAAATAGCTTGTTCAGTTTCACGGCGATGTTATAATGGATAAATATTTCATAAAACAAATGTTAAGATACGCCATTAAGGTCATACCCAGGATAACACATAAAAACAAAAGCATAGAAAGTGTTATTCTACTCAGAGTACCATTACTATAAGAATTAAAATAACTATCAGGAATTACCTGGTAGTTCTTGCAGAGCCTTAGGGCACCCAACCACAAGTGAACCTGTGTTATATGCTTATTTAAACACTATTGCCTGATTCAGGAAATAGAAAATCAGAAGCAAGGCTGACATGAAAAGCAACACCTGCTGCTCCATTACTAGCTCCTTATTTTTGCCTACAATTAACAGAGTGGCCACTGTTCTATGGACTTTGGCATGCAATCACCTGCTATAGAAAATGTTTGCCTCTTTCTCAAAGTAAAAATACAAAGAAAAAACAACTTAGGAAAGCCACCAAAAACAAAAAAGGAAAATGTAAAATCTAAATTAATTAATTCCTTTCTTTTCCTTCATGTTTATCTGACTGGGCTGGTCATCTGTAAGGTTAGCAGTGGTACTTTCCTCCTCGACACTCAGGTGGAATAGGTTGGATGTTAATTTCCTTGCCTTTTAACTGGTCCTCTTGAAGCTGGACAGCAAAGTTCATACCTTTCCCTAAAACTCAAGATGAGAGAGGTGGGTTCTCATGGCTTTCTTTAAAAATAAAGGCTACGTTGTACAGTGGCATCCTCCCTCACTCTCCAGACATCTGTACTCAAGATGTCTGGTGACTCATCTGAGATTTTCATGCTTTTCAAAAAACAGCATGAACTCCAGCTGTCCACCTATCCTAATTGTAACAGCTGATGTGCTTTTGTATTAAAACTTCCTTTCCTCTCCTCCCTAAACCTTGTCTACAATACCTGTTTATGTAAGAAAAGTGAGTCTGTTTTCCAGCACAGATCTTAGAAGGTAGGTAGGAGGACGAGGTGAAGGAGGGAAGGAAAAGTGGAGAACTCCCAAGCACAGAGCACGAGGGACAATGACTTCTGGCTTTCTTCTCAACAGCTGAGGTGCCTTAACCGGCACTTCGGCTTTGGCAGAGAGATGCAGGCAAAGACGCTCACCGACCTGGCTGGAGCTGAGCCTCACAGGACGAGGAGCGGGCAGCAGCCCACCAACAGCACGGCCGCTGGCCGTTGCTGCCAGTTGCCAGAGCGAGCGCTTCAACGCCTGCCGCGAGGGGATTCTTCCGCGGCTAGGCGTTCTGCCTCGGTGCTGGGGCTATATAGCGCGGCGGAGGGGACGGCCAGTCGTCATAGGTTTGCCCTGCCCCACCGCCGCTGCGGCGCGGGGCCCGCCAAAATCCCACCCCCAGAAGCCGAACCGTAATTCTATCGTAAAGGCCGTGTTGGGCACCGAAGAGCTCTGCGCAGCGGCGTGCCGCAAGCTCCCTTCCTCAGGGGTTGGTTTTAAATGTACCTATGGAAGTTAGGTAAGGCAGTGAGAACCCTGCACTGCAAAAGTGCTTTTCTCTCCATTATTAAGTGTATTTTTTTCCCCCAGATTATTCAACCCTGTCTTTCATGCCGAGTTTTTGAAAGATTATTCTTCTCTTTCAGACCTGACGTAATTTACACTGAAATGTCACTGCGTAACCCCGGAGGGTGTCAGGCTGGAGGGAAGTGTCCCCGCGCCCGTAGGCAAAGGCAGAACCCAGCACCTCTCCATACCAACACGGGCACACCGCGGGGGCGTTTGCAAGCGGGCCCGGAGGCGCAAGGCCGGGTTTCCAGACCACCCTAAGATGCCGCCCGTCGGGAGGATTTACGGAAAAAGCACCGCTCCGTTGGAGCTGGGCACCGACGCCTGCTTTAGGCGTTTCCACGGTGCCCCGTGCCTGCGAGCGGCAGCTAGAGGGACGCGTCGTCACATCAGCGCGGGGGTCCACGCTGTCATTCCACGCTTCAGCTAATGAACTCCGGAGTCAGGGAGTCCCGTTGATGCTTATAGGAACGAACCGGCAGGACCGGACCTGACCGACCACCGTCGCAGCCCGCCTCCGGCGTCCCTGGCAAGCAGCGGCCCGCCTGCAGGGACGTCCCGCGGGGCGGAGCGAGGCACCGCCTTCCCGCGGCCGTCCGCCTCCTCCTCTCCTCCTCTCCCGACATGGCGGCCCCAGCAGAGCTCAGCGGCCTGAGCGATGAGGCAGCCTACGGCGCCTGCTCGGAGCCGGATGCCAGCACCAAGGTGGGGTGGGTGGGGATGACGAGGGCGCCCCGGGGCTGCGGCAGAGCCGGTGTCGGTGCCCCCTCCCGCCCCCGCCCCGCTCTTTGCCGGGCGGACGTGCGGTGGATGGGAGGTGGCATGGGGCCGGGAAGGGTCGGGGCGGGGGGGGGG